CAACCAGTCAACTAATCAGAGAACAGATATTTGCATATGCCGGTGGGCACGAGACAAACCACGCCGACGGTCATAGCGAGTAAAAATGCGATATGCAAAACTCGTAGGCAAATATGGCCGACAGTGGGCAAGCTATCATGCGACGACCAGTCAACTAATCAGAGATCAGATATTTGTATATGCCGACAGTCACGAGACAAACCACGCCGACGGTCAAACGTCGCTTTCAATAAATTAGTTGGAGCGATTTTTAATTGTAAACACAGTCAAACAGAACCTATTTATAATGATCAATCATTTATCATGGACAAATCAATTCGGAAAAGACAAAAATTTTCCTAAAGTCATTCTAATATAACCAGTAGTGACGAAGACGAAGTAGAAGAGTTAGTTGGAGAAGGAAACTTAAATTCAACAACCACGGAGAAGATTAGCACAAAAAGTAACACTATGATATCGATGCCTTGAGATTTCCCAGGTGAAACATTTCCCCCAGTTGACCCATCTAAGATTGTTATGTCTATAGTCCCTCGAAATTGCAAAATAGTCTCAAAAGCCACGGCGTTATCTGATGAACCCGTACTATGCACAGTTTGTTAACGACTTCCACATAAGAAATAACTGTTTGTGGATGAATGGCAAAATAGTCATTCCAAAGACACTACATAAGGCAATTAACAATCGACTGCATTATTATCATCGCGGCAGGAATAGCATGTTCGCGGCGGCAAAGGATATATGGTACCCATATATCCAAAGGAATATAGCTTCAATCGCGGAAAATTGTCAAGAGTGCATTCTCGCCGTTAAGAACCAAAAAAATTGTGTACTAAAGGGGACTTAGTTAAAATACGCGAGCTAATAGAGTCCAATGAGGCAACACAGCTAGGTTTTTGGGGACCCATATACTACCTGAATGACTCCAAAAAAAAACGTGGTATCAGCGGCGGATCTGTTCTCTAGATGGGCATCGGCAATGGTCTGTAATGCAAATCGCTCGGACAAATATCTAAAATTTCTCAATTCCTACATCAAAAATTATGGGGTGCTTAGGAAAATTCGCGTAGATTTCGTATTAACGAAGAAATTTAAATCGTTAAGTCGCCGAATAATGACCACCGAGCCACCGGTTGTGTTGAAAGAACGATCGGAAGTTTGAAAACTTCAATACTCACATAAGCACGGGAGGAACGCCCGGAACCCTTGGAGAAGATGGTAGAAAGAGCCCTCGGCAAAATGCGGTTTTTACCAAACCCTACTCTAAAACTAACGCCATTTGGGGCCCATCATGACAGGGAAGCCAACACTCTACTCCGAAACTTAACGAAAAAACCGTCTCTTAGCAATTTAAACTGGTCCAATGTAAGAAAATTCAAGTATGCTTGTTTAGATGAGCAAGACCCGGATGATTCCAAATCAAGCGGATACAAACTGAGGAGTGAGATCCGACTCTGAAAACGGAAGAAAGGCAGCTAGAAACCACCCCTTAAAACTTACCGATGAGCAAGCGACCAGGCAGGCCGATGAGCTGAAAGCATCTTTGTTCCAAGGGCCAAGGTATGAAGCCGGCCCCTCGCGGATGCTCTTTCAGCGTACTGCGAATGGTAACGTAAACAGGTATAAACTGTTAATTACTAAAATAGTAGCTGAAAGCCCTCTTACAGTAAAAATGAGTAATGGTAGCCTGCTTAGGAAATCCAGAGTTGCGATCATGAAGTCGGGCTACCGAAACCACCGGGTTAAAGAAGAAGCTGGCAGCGACGAGTAGGCTTTTTGCCAAAAACAAGAGCGAAACACAAGAGCGACAACACGAATCAGAAGATTCGGAATCGGACAGCGACGGGCAACCGCTGGCGTCAAGGCGGATTATGGAAAGTTACCGTTGTCAACGCTACCAGAGGGGCATTCCCCAATCAGTATCAGGGGGAAAGGGACGGAACGGGCGGCTACCGAGTCAGTAGTCGCCAGTCATGAGGCCACAGAAGTAAACACGGCGAGCGTAACTGCGGCAAACAGCAAAGCGATGGGGCGAATACGGCACAAGGAAAAGCACGCAAGAACACGGACGGATACGCAGCGGAAAAAATCCAGAGGATGCTCTGGCGACGGCGCCGGCGGGAAATGAAACGAAGAAGCGTGCAAAAAAGCAAAGACTCGTTTCCTATTCGAGCTCTTGGGGTAAATCCCGCACAAAACTTACCTAATCCTAAATCTAGTACGCAACCGTGTATCATTATCAAACTCAGTTCAGCAATTCCATTTGGTTTTTTTGGCCAAGTCCAGTTTAGTTGCTTCAAAAACTCTCAATCCAGTATTTAAGTTCGCCTGAATTATAAACCCATTTCAGTTCATTTATTTTCACGAGAGGAAATGTCATAGTGCTATAATAATCATTTGAGTAGTTATTTAGTTCTTATTTAATTTCTCTTGTCAATCATTTCGGATCTATCTGGTGTTAGACATCATTGACAGGTATTGGCCTTTGGAGTGTCTGACACCTTCGGACGACCTCTGAAACATTATCTTTATTAACTGGGATACTGTTAGGTTGTTTATATAAAATAATTTAATTCGTGTCGAAATAGCATTTTCAACAACCGCGACTAATAAACTTCTTATGCGAAGCAAGCTATTTTGCCTGCTTTTTAGTTTTAAAAAATGCCACGCATATCTTTATCACGGTGTACATTGATTCTGCGTAGTGAGCTACTATTTTGTGAACATAATTTTTGCAGGTTGAAAGTCGGCCAAAACTTGTTTTCTTCGATATGTTTGAAGTTAATCTTATTTTCTGGGAAGTTTTGAATAATCGGATCTCGTTTTTATGCTTACTTTTTATTGGATTGATTTTTGACGGAGTTTTGGTTTAATTTGTAAGTTCACCAACTCTGAATTTGAAAATTATCCTTTTTACTTTTGTTTTTGCTTTCGCTGAAATGGTTTTAGTTTATTTCATATTACCTTCGGCGTTCCGTCATCCGTCGTTTGCAGAGCAAAAATAAATTTTTGTGCATCAATCCGTTCTAGGAGGAGGGTGGGGGGGGGGGGGTTGGGGGCATTGGTATGTTTAAAGAGTGGGGCGTCTTCGAGTTTTAAAAGTTAAATCTTAAGAGATTGTGGCAACATTATTTTTAAGGCAATTATTGTCAGCATAGGGGCCGCTCTGTCATATATAGTTCTGAATTTCTATATAATGCCGCTGCTGCTTTTTTCTTCAGTGTTTCCTACAATTGAGATATGTGTAGAAAAACTGAGAAAAAAAAATTGTAGCTGTAGTTTTTATCAGCAGTTTTTTCAAATATATATTTTTTCTTTTAAGTGGTTTTGGTCTCATCTTGTTTTCGATAGCTTGTCTCTATGTAAAAAGAACAGGATACAGTAGTTCGCATTATTAATTCCAAGTCACCCAAAATGGCAATTTTCAAACTTTCTTAACGTTCTAAAAATGTTTACTTCTTGTTAAAAATTTTGAAAAAACAGGCCAGAAAGGAGTTTTTATGGACTTTTTGGAAAAAATTTTTAAAAAATCGCGTTTTTTCGGAGCGCGGTCCTCTCTTAAAATTAGTATATATTGGCGCCAAAGGCGCCGTTAGAAAAAATTTAGGGTCCGTCAGCCAAAAATGGATATCTCAAAATAGTTCAAAGGAGGGACCCTTTGGGTCGGCAGGGGGTCGAATCCCTGAGGGGGGACCTGTTTTTTACCGTCCCCCTGATTTTTACGCCCCTGGTTTTTATCAAATGGCTTCATAGTTACAAAGCGAAAGGGCCAGAAATGAGCAACAAAATAGAGTCACCTGATTTCTACGTTGTTTCCCTCATTTCCATTAGATTGCCAGAGCTGCATACCTACATCTTCAATTGATTTTTTCATTTGCAGTTAAGGCTCCCTAAAAATGACTGAAATTTTCGAAAGCACGGAAACTGATGTAATTATCGAATTTCTATTAAGTAAAATTTTTCTGTTAAACACAGAAAAAATTATGAAGTACGAGACCATAACTAGATACGAATTATCAATCAATCTTTTATCAAGTATTTTATGATGAGATGTTTTAAATAAATTTGAAATTTGAATGAAGAATACTGATTCTATAACAGTACATCAGGATTTTAACTAACAGTCGCTCTCAACTCAAGGATTCAGCCCACTCGCCACACAAATTCAGCCCAGTCCACACAGATTCAGCCCGCTCGCTCCCTTTGTGTGGCGAGCGGGTTGAATCCCTGAGTTGAGTGCGACTGTCTGTTAAAATTCTGGTGTAGATTCTTTAGAAATCATTGTACGAAATCTATGTTTAGCTGACCGACCCTAAAAATTTTCTAAAAGCGTCTTGGGCACTAACTGATACTAATTTTGAGGGAGAGTGCAATCCAAAAAAACGTGAACTTTTGGTACAAAACTTCAACATGCTTAAAAAGTCGTTTTCAGTCTGTATTTCTTCAGACCTTTGCCTGACCGCGGAAATTTGTTCAAAATAGGAAGCTAATCGTGTTTTGGGAGAGCTCCGAAAATCAATTGTCTGATTCTGTTTCATTGCAGATAACACCTGCCATGCTGTCATGTGAGGTTGCATCGGTTGAATCTCAGGTGGGTCGTCTGAATACCCCTTCGTGAGTTCTTATTCTGCTCTCTTTTTCTCAGCAGAAAGTCAATGGACAAGAGATGCTGATGTTATAGATGGAGTTGGCAGTGCAAGTCTCGTCCCGTGCGTGAGTGAGTGGCTTGACTTGTTCGAATCTCAATTGGACCAAAGAGATCTCTTGAACTGCCTCCTCGGGTACCGCCTCAGAAGTCAATCAAGAGTCTATTGAGAATCGTGCAGAGTGCTTGAGTTTATCGGTTTGCCAACTAATAATTACAAGTTGGTACACATTAATAATTTTATGATAACTGAGTACTAACTAGCATAAAATACTATATTGAATAGTTATGCGTATTAATGTATATATCAATCAAAATTTTGGACTGATCAAATTGACTGCTATTATCTCAAAAATCATTGGCTGGTTTGTCAAATAATTTTTATTTGTTTTCAGTTTTCTCGTCATTTCGAAAAATACTATACTATCATTCAAGTCGTCACTTCAAAAAGTTTTTCCATCACAGGTCGCCAGATTTAAAATTTTTAATAAAATATGGCCTCTTTTATCAATCTAATTAGATTGAAAGACTGTTGCAGACTATTGGACTTTTCCAAACCCCTCTATTAAATACTTTTTTATGCATTTTGGTTTGATTTTTATGTCTTACGCTCTTTTCATCAACTAGAGGTTGGCTGGCTCAATTTTGCCTTGCTTTATAGCATAAAATTTACCTGAAAACGCTTCATATCAAACCCTTCCAATGAAATATTTGCAATTTGGAAAATCTTGTTGATAACACCGGCCAATCAGAACTAAATCAGTCTCCTTGTTAGTGCAGGAGCAGGAGCGGTGAAGCAATAAACTTTTAGGAGTACAACAGCTATTTTCTGGAATAAAAAGACAAAAAGGACGGATAATTTCTCCAATTGTAATTTGTTCAATTTATTCTCCATTTACGATTCATGAAGTATCATTGGACAACTATTTTCCAATTCCAAATTTTGCAAAAAGTTCAAGTTCACCTCATTCAACAATTTTACTACCGCAATAAAAACTTTCAAGCTTTTTCAATTCCTTCTGGAAAAAATTCGCAAATAAAAGTTTGAGATTCTGAGTATTAAGATGATTCTGAGTAACGAAGAATCTAAGTGCTCGCTTGTGGCCTCAAACTCTGCAATATATGACAACCCTTCTGATTTCTTAAGTCAAAACATACCTCTGACATCTCAGCCAAGATTCTTAGACCACGAGAACAACCGCGTGGAAATTAATTCATCTCCAACTTCCAATTCCGGGGGATCGGTGGCAAATAACGAGAGTCCATTGTTGTCGACCGGTGGCGACGTTTTCAACACACTACTTCAATGCAATCCAGCAGCTGCAGACGACGAGAACCCAACCGGCGTGGGGGGACCCTTGGGCTTGGGACTGCACCAAAGTGGGGGACATATGTTAATGGAGCCTGCTTCGTTCCATTTTTCACCCCAAAATGTGCAGTGTTGCGGGGGATGTGGGGAGGTGATAGTGGACAAGTACTTGATGCATGTGTTGGATAAGGCATGGCATGCCTCCTGCGTCCGTTGTTCCGACTGCACTGTGCCCTTGACGGAGAAGTGCTACTCGAGGGATGGGAGACTCTATTGCAAACAGGACTTCTTCAGGTAAACAAAATCTCAAAAAGTAACTTGTATCAATTTCTACGCTGATTGGAAATAAACTGAAAAATCTTCAAAATGAAAATTTGCTCAAATGAGTTTTTCAACTTAGTAAAATAGGTCACGCCAGTTGGTTATCAGCAGTGAAACTTTTACGGCATCCATTTGTGGGATTTTTTACCAAAAATTTCTGTAGCACTGAAATTTGTGCCTAAATATGAAACTTTGATTATTTTCAGCGCAATAATTTGGAAATATATTGAAATTCGATCCTGTTTTGGAAATTGATTTGTGCGGTAGAAAATGCACTCTTTTGTGTATAACTGCTTCCAAACTCTAAATACGCATCTAGTTTGTGTTTATTTTCAGGCGCTTCAGTACCAAGTGTTTCGGGTGCGAGGAGGCAATCATGCCGAAGGAACTTCTGAGAAAGGTGAGGAAGCACTACTTCCACCTGGGCTGCTTCATCTGTTCCCTGTGCCACAAACAACTGGCGACAGGGGACGAACTGTACGTCACCCCCGACAACAAACTCATCTGCAGAGAAGACTTCCTCACCAATGTTGTCGTCGCCGCCACCCCCAGCTCCTCGTCATCCCCCACCAGTGCCACCGCCACCACAGGGGAAATTAAACAACCCAACGCTACTTCACCAGACGGACAACAACAGCTGATCGACCCCTCTCATTCTGCACCAGTTGAGAAGGATGTTTTGAACAACAATAACAACAACAACAACAACAACAACAACAACAACAACAACAACAACAACAACAACAACAACAACAGATCAGCAGTGGCCACAGAAGCTCAAATCAAGTCCCCAACCCAGTTTGAAGCTCACCTGGGAACATTCCGCACAAACAGTAAGTTGAATAATTACTCGTTATAGCCTGAAGCTTTACATTGAGATTGAAATTAATAAATCATCTGAAAATAACATAAAAAGAGTAGCGGGTTGCTGAGACACTAGCACATAAAATTCGAGCACAGTTTTCATTGCAAAAAAAAAACTTTCTTCTCTTATTTATCCGATGTTAAATCGAAATGGCTAGGCGGAAAAAATGCCCTTCAGGTAGATCATTGAACAAAATGGTCTGGCAAAAGGAAAACAGACTATTCGTCTAGTAAATGAAGTCTGAATTTTAATTGTAGACTCAATTTCATCCGCTTATCGCTGGTTTTGAGTCGGATTATCCAAAAATGAGCTCATATATTGTACCCTACTTAAAATATTTTGAACTTTTCTCCGAGGTGCCTAACATTGAACGAAAATTCCCCTAATTCATAGATCCGTCCAGTCACTTCGTGAATAGCTGTGACTTCGGACCCGGTTTTTAAGATTTCCGCTTTTTTGCGGGATGAATTTGAACAAACAATCGTAAAAGCAAATTTCGATTTTTCTGCAAAATAAAAAAATTGTTAACCCAGTTTGGGCTTGAAAAGAGCACTTTAGATTAAGTTTCTGGGTCTTACTTGTACATTTTTCACGCTCAACAATATTCGATGCCTCATTGTGATAAGTAAGTTGTGGTGGCAGTTATGAATGAGTTTCTGAGCAGGGATGCATCTTAAGCAGGATTAATTTCAACCCCGACCCCCGCTTGTCACCTCACATTACCTATACCCCGGCACACATTGCGCTAGCCAGCCAGCTAATTCTACTCAATCCATACTCGTCTAATCCCCTTGCTCCAGCATAACACACAACTTATACAACTTTATCCACCTATCATGCTCAGCTAAGTATGAATGAGTGAAGTTCAGTATAAGAATAAATGTGGGGCAATGTTGCTCCAATTACCTCTTTCGGGATAATCTCATCTTATACCTGTCTGGTTAAGTCTTGCGGGATCTAGTGACAACAACTGAGCACGCTTAGTGGCCCCCGTCCCTTCCGCTCCCGCCCTCCTCCCCCAAGACCCTCTCTCTCTTCTCTTCCCGGGCCCAGATTCGTGGCCGGCCGTGCTGCCCACAGCAGCCACCTGTGCTCTTAATTGTTGATTGTTTGTTTACCTCCACTGTTTTCTACTGCTCTCTTCTGTTCTGTTTTGTTCTGATGGGGCATCATGTTGTTGTTTACTGGCATTAAACAGGCGCAGAGCATCGTTCAATTGGCCCCCTAGGAGCACTTAGAGTGAAATATTGCCCAATTTACATTTTCATATTTTGCATAGTGCCACAGTCATAAAAAGCAAAACACCAATTGCCAATACCCTCCTGAGCAATTTAGAAAAATTGCAACTATTGTGAATCACTAGATTTTTGTGAAAAAAATGCGAGTAGATTCAAAAGTGTTACTCTTTTTTTCAGCTCGAAAAATTATTTCATCTTTCTTAAAATTATTTTAAAGACAGAGGTGAAGCAAATTTTCACACCACGTGTGATACAATACTAAAAAAACGGCAAGTCGAAAATTGAGAAAAAAAATTGAAAAAAAAACATCGAATAATTCTTCTTTTACATTTGTCTTGAATGTGGTTCACTATGAGGAAAAGATGCTGAGAACCACAATTGCCATTGTTAAAAAAGTATTGAAACAAAATTCGTTAATTCAGCCGACAATAGTTGGGTAGACGACCAACCGGTGAGCCCGAAAAAAAATGTCTTAGAAATTTTGAGCTACAAGTTTAGTGAAATGAAATCGAGTCATTACGAAACTATTTTAAAAGATGCTGAAAAACATTACAGGACAAGCTTTAAATATTGATGAATTTTCAATTATTAAATAATCAAATGTCGTGTTCATACAACAGCAGTTAATTGTGAAAGCAAAAACTGGCAAAATCTGGAAATAGGGGAAAATTAAATGTGAGTTTTTGAATGTCAGTTTTGCGTATACTTTGAAGTTTATTCATGTAAATCAGATCATATAGAAAATTTTCTGTCGCAAACTTTCAGTTTTTTAATGTTTCATTTTTCGTATCTTGATTCTAGTGAACTGCTCCGATGTATCGCAGCAAAAAACTCTGCCGCGCCCTCAGAATGATGCGTGTCATTGAAGCTTCTAAAATGTTGTTACGGGTGTTGTTTTCTGGCGGCGGCAGAGAGGTGGAGTGGAAATTGTATAGTTTTATGGCCATCCGCACCTTAGTTTTCCCGAGGGGATACCAATGAGTTAGCAGGCATGTTAGAGAGAGAGAGAGAGAGAGAGAGAGAGGAGGTGGGGGATGGGGAGGGAGCTGTTGTGTGAGGGTAGGGTGCAGTGAGAGCACTTATGGTGCAGTTTAGTTTCAATTGCCACACTGCTACTGTGGTGTTGGTGTTGGGTTACCAACTCCGCTTGAACTGGAGAGATGAAAAGACACAGAACATGACAGCACAGTGGAAATTATTCAACATTTCCAATAGAAAATGCACAAATTGCTAAAATTCTGATAATTTGTCAAGTTACATGTTTTTGTTTGTTTTTAGGAGCCAACGCAGGCAGAAAGGACACTTTTGAAGACACTTTGACTCAATCCGAGATACCACCGATCGGCGATCTTCGGAAACAGAACCCAAATGACGCTAATGTCTCACAAGATATAAAGAGCGAGCCAATAGCAGCTTACCAGGAATCGCAAAACGCTTTTGTTTTAACCAGCCGAGCTGATTTCGGCGAGAACAACATTTTCGATCAGAACTCATTGCTCTTCTGTCGAAGCGTTATCGATCATCCTGAAAATGAGCAAAACACAGACGAAATTTTGAACAAAAGCAGTTCAGACCACGAACTGAATGAGAGCATGACCAAAAACGACGATATCTTGAAAACCTCAACAGATGAGATGATAAAAGCGGAGATGAATAAGAAATCGAGTTGCGAAATGCCTCAGCGGAGAAGCTCACTGGGCAATGAGCCTAACAGTGTTTTAGACGGATACGGCAGCGACAATTGTGGTTACAATAGTGACGATGAAGAGAAGCTATTCGACGAACAAGACGAAGGCGCCGAGATTAGCGACGACAACAAGTCGGATTACGACGACGGCGACTTCAAAAGCTGTGCAAGTCCTAATAAGGAAGGATCGGACGAGGTAATTGGAGGGGGGCCGAAAACAAAAAGCCAAGTCGGCTCTAAGAGACGAGGACCGAGGACAACGATAAAAGCGAAGCAGCTGGAAACATTGAAAAGTGCGTTCGCTGCCACCCCGAAACCCACGCGCCATATCCGAGAACAATTAGCCCAGGAGACTGGCTTAAACATGCGAGTGATTCAAGTGAGTACAGCACTTCTACATTACACGCCTGCTATTTTGTGCTTATATTACGTCTAGTTGATCAAAAGCAACATTTATAACGGCCCATGCACTGTGCAATAATTTTCTTCCACTCTTAGATGAGACCAAAGAAAGTGAATGAATGAAAGAGTGAAAGTTAGTTAATTAATACTGGTGCATCTAGTTATAACGTAAATCATGAAGCTCAGCCGCGGCATAGTTGTTGATCTCCTCGGTCGACAATTACGACGTGAGGGTGGGATTAGGCTGCGCCCTATTGCGTAACAGGGGCTCTTTTGTTCATTCCGATCCACTTCATTAGTCAGATCGGAAGTGTTGCAAAATAGACAGCGAGTGTTATGTTATTGTCGGTTCAGCGGACTGATTCTTGTTTTCCAAAGTGTGTTTCCCCCATGGAGCAACCCCTCTTGTTTTCTTTTCTCGGGATACATTATTTAGGCTTCACTGGGCCGCAAAGAAGTTTGGGTTAAAAAGCTCCAATTGTCACACAGATCAGATCACCCAAAACAACCCTGTTGGTCAAAAAGCATAACGCACTACATTTATGGCGACACTTCTCCATTCAAACGGTGTCTTATTGGCTCAAGGAGATTTCGGCGAAGTCATCTTTCTAAGATCGGCAGTCCAACAAAAATTGACTTTTTCTCAGACAAATCAAATAAACGCTTGCTGGCAGAACAACAAAAACTTACAAATATACGGTGCCTTCAGCTGGAAAACAACCTTTGTTTACTATGTGATCTGGGCAATTTTGATTGTATCAAAGTTCGGTTATATCAAATTTATTGTAAGTTGTGTCATTTTCCATGAGTTGATTTAGTTTTGGTGCTCTGCCATGCATTTCAAACAGTTTTTACAGCATTTCGGACCAATAAAAAAGTTGTTCACATGAAAAAAGCTTGAACAACCTGATTTTGTTCAGCGATGAGTTGAAAATTTGTTTGGTGTTGTTGCTTTTCTTGTGAGCGTGACTAGTATACTTCTAAGGGTGCGATTAAATCGCAGTACAGTTATTGGAGGGGGCATTAAATTGGGCTTTGGCGCAGGGGGTAAAAATGACACAAATAGATGGCAATTGGGAGCCGAGATTTAGGTTGTAAAACGATTCCATCATTCATAAACTCCTCTCTTCTCGCCCGCGGATAGAGGCCGCGGCATGTATCACACAACGGGCATATTACATACAATACAGTACAATGCGCAAAGAGCAAGAACAAGACTAGCCGCAACAGGGGAAAGGGATTTGCGAATGCAGAGAGTAAAGTGAGGGCGTCCAATAAAGAACGTCAACTGAGAAAAAGCCGGATTAAAAAAGACATAAAACAGCAGAAAAAGACGTATAAAAATTGAAATATTACCCAAATAAACCAAAACTTGAGAAAACTGTTTGTAGAAATCGCTACCAAAAAAAAACAAAATCCTGAATGCTATACCCTATGTATTGCGGGTCCATGTCAGCTCGCAAAATACTTGAAAAATTCATAAAGCCAAGCTGATGTCAATTCCTAAGAATTCTTACTAAATAATTCAAGGTTGTATTTTGAGTTTTTTCAGGTTTGGTTCCAAAACAGAAGGAGTAAAGAGCGACGAATGAAACAGTTGAGTGCTCTTGGAGCCAGGAGGGCTGCATTCTTTCAGAGGAGAATCAGGGGGCCCTTCGACCCCAATCCACACAACCAAGAATTCCTAACACCTCAAATACCCTTCTTCGCTCACCAGGGTACGAGACACATTGCGCCTTTTTACTTTCAGTTTTCAACTATACAAACAGAAAAACAATGATAGCCGGTTACGGTGCAAATAGCATAGCATGTTCCGACCATAGTCTTGAAAATAAATTTTTTTTTTCAAATTGGTGTCGTTTTTTTTCCGCGTGTTGTGATACAAAGATCTGAAGGAAAAAATAGAACTTAGGCATATTTCAGAGTCCTAGTAAGATAGGTAAATTGTAAAACAGTTTATGAAGAAAAATGACTAGAAAAAAAAGTATGAAAAAAATTTCAAAAAATTTCAAGAAATTCTTCAATTTTTTTTTACTGAAATGTTTTCATTTCAAGAATATTTTCATTTCAAAAAATTATCAAGTGTTAGATTCCCAAAGTTGCAATAAAAAGTCCAAAAACTACCTTTACTTGAGTAAAACGGCTTAAATTAAGCTTAATTATGCTACACGGTCACCTTATTAGCTCAAAATTAGACCAAAAATCTAAAATTTCAAATTAATTTTTCTCGACAATGTGAAAAAATTTCGAAATTTTTAATATTGTTCGAATCACGACTGAAAATTTTTTAATATGATATTTCATTCAGCCCAGTCCGATGATTATTTGTGGTACCTGATTTTGCGTGGAAAACAAAATGCAAAAAAACTAAAACACACCCGAATCCAAAGTTCCTCCCCATTTGCAATGGTCGGAACAACAAGGTTAGACGGTTACTGTGCAAGTAGCACAGAATTTTCTGACTATAGTCTTTCGAAAAAGACGGTTTAGAAAATTTTGTTTTTCCAAATTAGTGTAGTTTTTTCTACTTGCTATGATAAAAAGTTCTGACGTAAAAATATAATTCAAGCATATTAGACAGTCATAGTAATATATATAGGCAAATTTAACAACAATTTTTGTAGAAAATTAACTAGAAAAACTAAAACAAATTACAAAAAAAAATTTCAAAACTTTTTGCAGACATTTTAAAAAATTTTGAAGTTTTTGATTCCCAAAATGAAGCTTAAAAACGCCAAAAACTAGTTTTACTTGCTTAAAAATTAATTTTAAGGCCTTAGGCATAATTCAGCTGTTGTAAGCATGCTCGCTTGCTTTATTTGCTCGAATTAAGGCGAAAAATCAAAAGTTTGAAACCGGTTTCTCTCGACACTGAGAATTTTTTTTGAAAATTTTTAAGCTGCTTCGAATCACAACTGAGAGGGATTTAATATGATATATCACTCAATCCAGTCCGATGATTTTGTGTGGTACCTGTATTTGCGTGGAAAACAAAAAGAAAAAACTAAAACACTCTGGTCGGAGCAATTAAGGTAAACTTACCTAAATTGAATTAAGGCAAACTACTTCGCCTCAAAGTAACCTGAAGAAATTTTGAAGGTGAATCTTACCTAAGTCGAGTTAGGGTAAATTAAGGTAAAAATGATATTATCCCCGCAAAAAAAAAACACGGATTTCAAAAAACACAAGAAACTGAATTTCGTCAGAGTAACAGACATTTTAATTCACAGGCAATTACAGCCCGAGTGGAGATTTTTCACCTAATTTGAAGCAAGATTTGAGCGGTTTGAGCGGTTTTTTTAGACAATTACGCTCAAAATCTTGCTTCAAAACGAGCGGTTTAAGCGGTTTTTGAACGGTTTATCTAAAAAAAACGCTCAAAAACCGCGCAAGATTTGAACGGTTTTGAGCGGTTTATCTAAAAAAACCGCTCAAAAACCGCGCAAGATTTAATAATAAAAAGTCGACCATAGAGGGATTCGAACCCCAATCTTCTGATTCGAAGTCAGACGCCTTATCCGTTAGGCCATGCTGCCCTGAAACTATAGACTAACATCTGAAATATAGACTAACATTCTGAAGTGCAAAACATTTGACGTGATTATTGGCATCTCTAAAAGACTTCGAAGCTCTTTTTCCTCCCCCCCCCCCCACCTCACACGACCTTCAATATATTAGTGTAACGAGTGGTTTTACGAGTAGTCAATGTATTCAACAATCTAGTGAACATATTTACATGTAAAAATTTGTAGGTGGGGGGGGGGGAGGAAAAAGAGCCGACTTCGATGATGCTGGTATGGGGAGGGGGGGGGGGGGGCGTGGGAGGTAGAAATTGGTTTTTTGTCAACTCATTGATCCAAACATTAAAAGTTTGGGCTCTTTTCTAGTTTCTTCCCCCCCCCCCCCTTTCAAAACCAAGGAAGACCGCTCAAAAACCGCTCAAAAACCGCTCAAAAACCGCCCAAATCTTGCTTGAAAAACCGTTCAAAAATCACCGCAAGAAATGAGCGGTTTTTGAGCGGTTTTCTAAGCAAGATTTGAGCGGTTTGAGCGGTTTTTCCAAAAAAACCGCTTAAACCGCCCAAACCGCCCAAACCGCTCAAATCTTGCTGGAAAACCGCTCAAACCGCTCAAATCTTGAGCGGTTTTTGAGCGGGATCTCGACCCGGGAGCTAAGGCATATTAGTTTAGTTTGTAATATTTGAAGACATAAGACAATCTAAATTTGCCGTAAGGTTAATGTAAGAATATGCTAATTATACCTACTTTGTAAGGGTTAGTTTCCAAGGTATACATAACTATCAACGAAGTTTTTATGAGGCACTTTCTAAGGTTGATACACTTTAGCTTTTAAGGTGGTTATAGGTAAAATTTTAAGGGTATTTATAGGTAAGTTATGGAGTACAACATTTAGTGCAAATTTATTTCCATTAATAAGATAGTTTAAGGTGTTTCCAAGGTAATTTTCATTCAACTTTTTTGCAAGTGTAAGTACAGTTTCGCGAATTTGAAGTCTAAAAAGTAAGGAAATATGGTTATTTTAGACCTGAACAATCCTGATTTCTTCCCGATGGGTCAGCCATTTTCTTATGACTTCTTCCCCGGAGTGCACCACTCTTCGATCGGACAGCCTCCCTCGTCTATAGGAGTAGACAACTCGGAGTTCCCGATGCCCCCCCACCCTACCCACACCTTCCTCACTCATAGATCCCTTGAGATTGCACTCGGGCGACCATTTGGGCTTACCAGCGGGATTAGGCGGAGGATCCCCATTCATTCCAACATCTGCACCCCCACCCCATCTGGGAGGCACGCATACAAACCACCTATCAATTTCCCCAGGCAGTATGATGGAGGACGCAATATCGGTACTTAACTCTAACCAGTCCAACAATCAAAGGATGCTTCTTCCATCTCCTGATATGCCGCTGCCTCCCTCCGACCGCTTTCTTTCTTCTCTCTCTAAACAGCCTCGCTTCCGAAATGTATTCGAAGATAACTCGGCAACAGTTTGGTGAAACTACTCGCTACAACCGAAAAAACTAATTATTGTAAAAACTATTTATGTTCAAAAATGATAAATTTCAACAAACGGATTTACATTAAATTCTATAAAATAAAGTATATCAGAATGTAATAAATTCAGTTTCTGAGCTTTACAAAGATTAGTGCAGTATTTATGATAAAAAGGTGTTATGAAAAAAATGAAGCACTCATTCATGATTTAAATTAAATTTGAATTGGAAAAAATATTCCTTTGAGCTCCAACTCTAAGTTGGCCAATGCGCAGTAAGCTACGGACAACAGCAGCCATAGTAGTTGTTTATCGATCATGGCTTTTCTTGCGTTATCTACTTGACTAAGTAATCATGTTATGTAACCGTGTTATGTAATATGATTACTTAGTCAAGATATTGTCAAGAAATCTTTGTCGCACAGACACTCACAAAAAGAGTTGTTCAATTTTTGGGATCCAAGATCTTGTCAAGCTAGTTTCCTTTTCAAACTTTTTGGGGTGTTTTTCTTTTCAAATTATGATCACTTGATCGCCCTTTTTGTTTAATAAATATCGATACCAGCTGTTAGTTTAAGAAGAAGTTTTTTTGTAGTACGAAAAATGTTTCATGATTTCCTATCTTTTGCAAAATAATTTCTCAACTAAAAATTTTGATCAGTTTTGTTTTCCAGTGGATCAAGATGTCAAATTGCTTTTACTATGATTATTTAACCTGATTGGTTGCGCTAAACTCATCAATTAGGAACTTTAGTGAATCCGGTTAATGATTTACAGCGAATTTAAGTATAACCAGTAGTTGTCTATCTTAAAACCAGCCCGATTTATGATGTTCAAGATTCTCATCCAACCGCCGAACCCATTCTCCGCATCAGCGTGAAAACAAATTGAGTTTATGTCCGGGGTGGCTCACTCATAGGGTAATTTCAGATAAGGTACACCGTCTGTTCGTCGAACGTATTTTCGCCCGTATAGATTCGTGCAACTTCTTAGTCTGATACCGGTCTTAATCTTCCTCTTATACATCCTAGTCTTAATAGATCTAGTGTATACTGGTATTCGCGAGTTAGTTATCTGGAACTTGTTCCAAAGGAGAATAGCTGTTTTCTAAACTATTTTTAAATTGCTCTGGTTAGCTGTAAGTGTTAGTGATGGATCCTGATTGGTTGGTAAAATAATATTTTATGAGATAGTTTTATCAAAAAATATAATTGGTTACGAATACTAGTTTTAAACTGGTTAAAGCCATCCGTGGTATAGAGAGTTTTAAGTTTTAATGTTTATTGCAATGAAGGATGGATGGAGAGATTTCTTGTTTTTTCGAGTAGTTTATTTTTGAAGCAGTGACTGCGTTAAGGAAGAGAGAGAAACAGTTGTTCGTGCCTCAGAGTCGTTGTCTTCATGGGAGAAGGTTGACCGTTGCTCGTTCTGCAAAAGTGGGCCTCGTATATCCTAGATCGTTGTAAGTGATCGTGGCTAGACTGAAGATTTATGCAATGATAAATTGGTTTCGTTAAGTTAGAGCGAGACTATAAGCAAGATCGAATTTGACTTCTTTTTGTGAAGCGCCAAAAGACTAGGATTTGTATGTGAAGTCAACATCGAGATGGCCATGGTTCTTCTACAATGGGTCTTTGCTGCGATGTTGTTTCCATATTTCAAATCCTGTGAGGGCTGAGACTACGGCAACAAACCAAAAGAATTGCCATTGGAGAGTCGGAATGTCATCGAGTTTTCATCTCCCTTTGCTGCTCGTTCTTTTTGCTCTAAGATATCTTTTCTTTTTCATTGCATATTTATATCTATATCCTGTTATTGAGATCAGTTATAGTTATGATATTTATTAGTTGTTTTTGCAAAAGCGTTTTTTTTTTAGTTTCGGTTTTTTAAAAAGAGTTGCTTACCCAGAAGCCGCTCCTAGCAAAAATTGTGGATCGGGGTCGTAGTACATGGTGGGCGCATGTAATTCAAGCGACGTCGTTCTGGTGGGTTAGACCAAATGAGGATAATTTTTACAGTCTCTTGGAGCAGGGTCTTTTTTCGTGTTCCATTTTTGTTTTTTTTATCAGGTGTTTTTCTCTTTTTGTATTTGGTTGTGTCCTTTTGTCAAAAACAGATTGTTGTGTTTTATCTTTTTCTTTTGAGTTTTTAGTGTTTCCAGTGGTTTTAATAAAACTTGAAAATCGGTTTCAAAAGAATAATTGATCCAGTGTAAATCTCAATTTAGTCTGGTTTGGGTACCGTAGGACTTTCTCATACATGCGTTGGTTTTACAGCATTAGTAAGCTGCGTTAGTTAGTTTAAGCTTACTTATAATTCCCTCCAACGGGGTTGAGGGAAAATTTGAAACGCGGTAAAGTTAATTAGTTGTTATCAGATTGTTTCTGAAACTGAAATTCATTTTTTAAACAATTCTAATAACTACAATTTCGGTGGAAAAAGTGCCTGAAACGCGTTAAGATTAAATGAACAAAATTTTAAAAGCACAAATAAAAAGGATAGTTTTCTGTAATTTAATTTTCATTTTTATTTCACTATTTCATACTTGATTTGAACTACAAAACCATTAACTTTTTGCTTTTGTATTAAATGTTTTCACTAGGAAAACTCATTTAGATGGTTGGGTTTGAAAATGAAAGTCGAAAAAGAGATTTTTTTGTTTTAATTTCATCCTTTAGAGCAGTGCCTGGTGAAACCTAAAAAAGAAAAGTGAAGCAGACGTGTCGAAATGATGAGTGTCTTATTTATTTGTGTAAGTGATAAATTTAAAAATTATACTTACGAGGAGTCAGGTAAGGAAAAATCCCATGGGTGAATGTAGCTTCAATAGTTTCAGATGTTACTAAAAGCTTAAAAGCTTATCAAGCATGCGTATTATGATTTTAGTGCGAAGCAGTGGCCAAGAAATTCAAGGGCTCTGATTTTTACTTCTTCGGTAGTAGCTGGAATTCGTGATTTGTGTTTTCAATTAGATTGTAAAGATTGTAGTTAAACTTGATAGTGGAGATGTTCTCTAGTAGGCCCATTTTATTGGGCTCTATATATTCGTGGTGAAGGATGATGGGGCTCAATTGGCAAAATATAGACGCCTGTCGGACAGGGGTTTATTTTTTGGAGGATGCCATGCAAGTTTGTTCATTTGATGCTGTATGTAAAGTTTAAGAAGTAGGGTGATGTGTTCTTTCGAGGTAATAAACATAAAACGATGGTGTG